TCTCTTTAGGCCAATCAATGTGCTCTTTGGCAAATTGTAACCTCTTCAGCACACGTCTTTTTTCCAACAGTGGGAGTTTGCGGGGACTTCTTGCAGATAGCTTGGCTTCACATAGGCAGCCGATCATTTTCTGCACGTCTTTATATGTTTTCCCCTCTCCAATCAAAAGGTACGCTGTTCTTCTGAACAATATCTGGAACAAGCCATTTTCTTCAGAATTTCAGAGAGAAATGCACTGTAACCAGCATGTACAACATTTGCTGCCTTCCTTCCTTAAATAAGGGCAATAATTGCCACCTGTTTCTCAAAGAACGAATGACCTCACTAATAGAACTCCACCCTGCTATTATTTTGAACACGCCCCTTTCAATGAGTGATTCAATGACACAGAATCAGCAGCATGCATGTCATGACTGTTGGGTCTGTTGGATTTCTATTACTCTACTATACCTGCTAGGAAATTATTTGCCATGTAGAAATATCATTTCTACCAAAAACAGTGATTGATCCGGTTAGTGATGTCTGACTGCTATTTTGGAACACAACTGTACTACCAAAAATGATACAATCTCAAAAATGACTTAGACACTACCCAACCAGCACCCATACAAAAATTTCTTGACACTATCAAACTACCCCAACTCATATCTCCACCCCAATTTCCCCTGCGGAAATAGAAACAATTAAAAGCTTTACCACGCAACAAGTCACCAGGAAATTGTTTCACCAACAAATTTTACAAATCATTTGCCCCTGACCTGTCACCATATCTGACCAAGCTCTTTAACCATGCTGCCTCTACAGCCTCATTCCCCAACAAAATGCTACAATCCATAGTTACGACTAACCCGAAACCCAGTAAAGATCCTCTAAATGTCCAGAATTAGACCAATATCACTACTCTGGGCTATTATATTAGCATATAGCTTTTGTCTAAGACTCCTCCCCTACCTACCTACATTAATCCACCCAGACCAAATAGGATTCATCCCCGGTCGCCAAGCTCCTGACACTAGGAAAAATGATCTCTTCTCCATAACCTAGAATTCACCAAACAGCCCTCCATACTACTATCCTTAGACGCAGAGAAAAGCATTTGATCGAATACACTGGCATTTTAGGAGTTTAACCCTACAAAAATTCGGCATCACGGATTGGATGTTATCAGCCATACTTTCTCTCTACTCCAATCCCTCTGCCAAAGTATTAACAGATGGAAAAAACTATCAGATCCCTTCGACATCAAACTGCACCAGACAAGGTTGCCCCTTATCCCCCATAATATTTACACTTATTGCTTGAGGTGATTGTAGCCGTATTAGTGCATTTGAAACAGAAACAATTGAGTACTGTCCATGATACTTTTTTTATTTGCACTAACATACAATTTTGAGGACAAGCTTTCGGGGTATGTCCCCCCTTCAAGGTCTAAGCAGTACTATTAAAAAAATTTTAAAGCAGAATGTTAGAAGGGATTGAGAAAAAAAAAAAAAAAAAAAAAAAAAAAAGGGCTACAGATAAGATACATCAAAAGCGGGGGGGGGGGGGGGGGATACTACAATCACACAGAGGGGGTCAAGCTTCAGCTAATAGATAGTCATAAAGCTGTCGGATAATGGTTGAGGAATCCCATGTCCAAATTAAGGCCATTATCTTTTGTGTCAAATAGAATTATCAGTCTTAGTTCAAAATGTTTTTCTTTCCTGGATGGATTTGAATTTTCCTTTCAGAACTAAAACCTTGAGGTCTTCCATATTGTGGTCTGGTTGTGTGAAATTGTGTCCTACAGGTGTTCAGAGGTCATCTTCTTTATGTTCCTTGATGGTATGTCTGTGTAAATTCATCCTTGTTTGCAACTTCTGTCCTGTTTCGCCAACATAAGATCCTTTTCTGCATTTTCTGCACTGGATAAGGTACACAACATTACTGGAGGTGCAGCTGTATGATCCGGAGATATTGAAGATCCCTTTTGAACACTACTTATTGAAACCTTAGCTTCAAAACTAATAAATGACCCATCATTTTCAGGAATTACCCACCTCCACACGGAACAGTTTTTATGCGCAGACATACGAATGATAACCAACCCACATAAATCTCCAAAGGATTCGTTCAATTCTCCAAAATTATTTAGAAGCAGGGGCTGACTGACAACTCATGGGGCCCCCGGGCAATAGGGGATCATGGGGCCCGTGTCTTTGCCCAAACTCAAAAAAGCCTATAAAAAAAAAAAAAAAAAAAAAAAAAAAAAAAAAAAGGTACCAGGGGCATCTCATGGGGCCCCCTACTGACCCTGGGCAGTGCCCGAGTTTCCAAATGGTCAGTCCGCCCCTGTTCAGAAGTTTTCTATTACAAACTTAACAAACCTAAATCGTCCATCTTAAATCTCCACACACCTATCCAAACGTCACTAGTCAAGCAATTTCCCTTCTCCTGGGACCAACACAACATACCCCTATTTAGGAATTAAACTCACCGCAACAATAGACCAATTATACCCTGCAAATCATAAATTACTACTTGAATCTATTCCACGAGAAATCTCAGCACTCCGTACAACACTCTCCAAACTGGGACAAGTAGCGACTCTGAAAATGTTCATATTACCAAAATTCTATACATATTCTGCACTCCCTATTCCCAATATCATCTTCTCTAAACTACAAACAGTCTTCTCTACATTCCTCTGGAATTCTAAAAATCCCAGATGTACTACAAATCTATTATTGTCCAACATCCAGAGGAGGAGCAGGCCTTCCACACTTAAAATCGTACTACAATGCGACTCTTCTTGACCAAATATACTTTTGGTGGCACCCAACAAAAGAAAAAAAATTATAGTCTACCATGGAAACACTCCCATTGCTTCCACTTTTACCTCGAAACTCTTCACACCACAAATACCCCCAAATACCTACTTAAACACCCTTGTATCCAAGCCTCTCTCCAAGCTGGGACAACCTTACCACTACTAAATTTGAAAATACCAAACACATACCCACCCCAATCAATATACTACACCTCTTCACTCCATCCCCAACTCTATTACAATGGGAAAAATCCGGCCTAACCGACATAAAAGATCTCTACACAAATCACAACTTTGAATCATTCCAGACTCTCCACAATAAATTTAATCTACCCGCAACCCAATACTTCACCTACCTGAGAATATCTCACTGCTTACGAATAAATATTCCTCATTTTATGAAATTTTCTACCCCGCATACCAATTTCTTCACAAAACAAAATATCCAGGTAAAGGCATCTCTACCTTTTACACACTAATAGTAGACTCACTATTCACCCTACAATCTTCTCCTTAATTAACTGGGAAAAAACGCTCCTACAGCCAATACCTCCACACTTGTGGGAAAAAAAAAAAAAAAAAAAAAAAAAAAAAAAAAAAACCTTCATCACCTATAGAGCCTCACATGTAGTTCGCATTGGGAATCGTATCTAAAAATACTACATCAATGGTACTTAACACCCGTTAAACTTTCACTATATTATCTACAACTCTCCTCCTCCTGTTGGACAATGCAGAGAATTAGGATCAACGCTCCATACACTATGGACATGCAAATCACTCAAATCTTTCTGGAATAGCGTCTTCCAAATGCTCTCAACATTATCTAAAACTCCAATAACCCCAAAACGCTGCTCTAGCACTCCTCTATATTGGAACCAACGATTTCCCTCGAGACTCCTGTACCATTATCATCCACACATAATCGGCAGCGAAAATAAACATAAACTAAATTATGGAACACTACTAAATCCCCTTCTCTTACTTCACTGATAACAGATCTTAACTTCCAATGCGATATGGAAAAAAAAAAAAAAAAAAAAAAAAAAAAAAGATCTGCCCTAAACAATTCTACCAATCACACATTTAAGCTCCATTGGTCTCGATGGTTACAGAACCCAAACTGTTCCGTAAAAGTCTGATAAATTCACTATAAAAATACCTTGACCCATCTGCCTAGACTGGTGCACTTACCCTTCCCTCTCCCCTACTCCTTGTTCTCCACCCCCTATAGATTTCTACAACCTTACATAGTTCAGAATTTACTGAGCACACCTCTCATACCAACAACACTTATTCTAGTATTACCCCCAGCCAAATGGTGGGGAAAATGGTTTTGTTTACTTTCCTGTACTACATTTTTAACTGAACCGTATTTACCTACAATGTCTTGTTACTAAAACTTAAAATAAAAACTATTGAAATTAAAAAAAAAAAAAAAAAAAAAAAAAAAACTTGGCACAGGCCTTGGGAGATAGGCTTCTTAGTTACATAGATCCCACATTCACCCTCAGCTAGGTTACACAAAATATGGTTTCCTTACACAGAATGCTCTTATCCCAATTCCCACCATGAGGGTCTTTAATCACTGCGAATACAATGAATTGTATGCAAGAAGTATACAGAAACAATTGAGTACTGTCTGTGATACTTTTTTTTTTTTATTTGCACTAACATACAATTTTGAGGACAGGCTTTCGGGGAATGTCCCCTTCTTCAAAGTCCAAACAGTACTATTACAAATCACAAAGTTTAAACAGAATGTTAGAAGGGATTGAGAAAAAAAAAAAAAAAGGCTACAGATAAGATACATCAAGAGCCAGGGGGGAAGGGGGGGGAATCTTTGATGGAGGTTGCCTTCCTGAACACCATCACGGGATAATCTGATAATATATTTGCCTAGTGTGACATCTTCCTGTAGCAGGTGCCAATGTCTTTGTAGGATTCTATGTAAATCTTGACATTGTGCTGAATATTTACATAATTTCACTGTATGACATGGTCTTAGATGTAGGTGTCTGGTACAGTAGTGCGGTTCTATCCTTTCCAAAGGGCTTTGTTATAGGCCAGTGATGGCGAACCTTTTTGAGCCCGAGTGCCCAAACTGCAACCCAAAACCAACTTATTTCTTTCAAAGTGCCAACACTGCAATGAAACCTGAATATCAAGCTTTTGGTTTAGAAAAAACAACTCGTACAGTAGTGCAAACTAATTAACAGTACAGGGATGACCAGAGACTGTGGACACAGTACAGGGATGACCAGAGACTGCGGACAGTACAGGAGATGACCAGAGACTGCGGACACAGTACAGGAGTGACCAGAGACTGCGGACAGTACAGGGATGACCAGAGACTGCGGACAGTACAGGGATGACCAGAGACTGCGGACACAGTACAGGGATGACCAGAGACTGCGGACACAGTACAGGGATGACCAGAGACTGCAGACACAGTACAGGGATGACCAGAGACTGCGGACACAGTACAGGGATGACCAGAGACTGCAGACAGTACAGGGATGACCAGAGACTGCGGACACAGTACAGGAGATGACCAGAGACTGCGCTCACAGTACAGGAGATGACCAGAGACTGCGGACACAGTACAGGAGATGACCAGAGACTGCGGACACAGTACAGGAGATGACCAGAGACTGCGAACAGTACAGAAGATGACCAGAGACTGCGGACAGTACAGGAGATGACCAGAGACTGCGGACACAGTACAGGGATGACCAGAGACTGCGGACAGTACAGGAGATGACCAGAGACTGCGGACAGCACAGGAGATGACCAGAGACTGCGGACAGCACAGGAGATGACCAGAGACTGCGGACAGCACAGGAGATGACCAGAGACTGCGGACAGCACAGGGATGACTGCTGACCTTTGGGAGGGAGGGAGGGGGAGCGGGTACCTGAATTTGACAGGTACCCGCTCTTACTTCCGCAGAGTTTTTTTTTTTTTATCTTACCTGTTCCTTTATCCAGCCGCGCGTTGTCTTCCTGGCTTCTGTAGTGTGGGCGGACAGCCGGATGCCCAGTGCGCATGCGCGAGAAGCGCTGCGCTTTGTGATTGGTCCGGCGGCTTCTGGGATCTGTCACGTGTCCCAGGTACCGCCTTACCATTCACAAAGAGCACTGCTTCTTGTGCATGCGCACTTGGGACCCGGCTGTCACGCACACTACAGCCGGGAAGACAGCGCGCCGCTGGATTCTCCTGGCGTGCCCACAGATAAGGCTCGGCGTGCCGGCTGTGGCACGCGTGCCACGGGTTCGCCATCACTGTTATAAGCTTTCCAAAAGAGATTTGTTGTAGCCCCAGTGGAGGAGGCATTGATGCAATTGTGCAGTTTAATATGTGTGAGTGCAGTTATGTCAAAATCGAACATATTGCACATAGAGTGTACTGTGAACCAAGACTGAACAGTGAGCATTCCAAGCTGTCTCTTTATGACATAATTTGGTGGCTGGATAGTTGGTGTCCTTATATTCCTGAAGATGGGGGGGGGGGGGGGGGGGGGGAAATCACCCTGCTTGTTGGGAATACAACAGCATGTACTATATAGTATTGTGTGAATATCACTTGACCAGTAGATGGCACTGTACACTAAGGTTACCAGTTGTGCATATGTGTAAAACTTGTTGGTTTTCTTCTCTCTCTCAAACCAAGATGTCTGCTGAATCGTGCTCTGTATGTTTGCAACTTAACCATTTCAATACTGGGTTATTTTACACCTTCCTGCCCAGGCCATTTTTCACGTTTCAGCGCTCTCACACTTTGAATGACAATTGCGCAGTCATACAACATTGTACCCAAACTAAAATTTTATCATTTTCTTCACACAACTAGAGCTTTCTTTTTTTGGTGGTATTTAATCAATTGCTGGGGTTTTTATTTTTTGCTAAAATAACAAAAAAAGACCAAAAATGTTGAAAAAACACGTTTTTCTTTGTTTCTGTTATAAAAGTTTACAAATAAATAATTGTTCTTCATAAATTTAGGCCGAGATGTATTCTGCTACATGTCTTTGGTGAAAATAACCCAAATTAGGATGTATTTTTTTTAGTTTGTAGGAAAGTTATAGAGTTCACAAACTATGGTATAGATCTGATTATTGATCAATCCTGAAGTACTGACGGCCAATCTAATTTCTTGAGGTCTAAGAATGTCAGAACAGTACAGATATCCCCCATATGACCCCTTTTTGCAGAGTAGACAGTCCGACTTACTTCATAAGAGGCATGGCGAGTTTTTTGAAGTTGTATTGTTGTCATAATTTTTCGGAAAATGAAAAAAATTCAAAAAATTTACTATTTTTTTTTTTTACATACTGTCACCAGTGCAGTACAGCGTCATCATAACTGGCATGGCGGTAAACAGGGACACTGACTGACAGTATGAAAAAAAAATTTATATATATTTTATTACTTTTTTTTCATATTTTACTATGACCAAAGTAGTACAATGTTACCATAGTAACATTGTACTACTTTGGGGAAGTAGTCAGTATTTTTTTTTTTTTTTTTTTTTTTTTTTTACACAATTTGCTTGTAGCAAAGAATTACTTTGCTATAAGCAAGCATTTACCTGAATGAAAATCGATTCATTCAGGTTTGTTTTTTTTTTTGTGCTTAGCTGTGATTTGGTCACAGCTAATCACATGACATGTGCATGTGATCAGCTGTGACCATTCACAGCTAGGCACTAGTGTACAATGGATGGCATCATGAATGAAGCCATCCATTGTATACAACTGTCATGTGACCTGCTGTGATTGGTCACAGCAGGTCACATGGTACCTGCAACAGGGGCCGGTACTCAGATCTGTCATCGGCCATGTCAGAGGTACACGGCCGGTGACAGATCGGCCCGCTGCACCGCTCTGCATTAGCGCAAACTGCACATGTGCGGGAGCACGCCAAATGGCGTGCACCCGGAGTGCAGGAGCGCATTTGAAGCCACCAAACGGCCATTGGCCGGGCGGCTAATGGTTAAGCCACACAAGTTAAACATCACAAGCTACCAGCGTCTTCTCTAACACATAACCAATACTTGTTAGGGAAGATCGAGTGCAGTGCATCAATAGTTACAAGCAGGGAGTCGAGAGGCACAGAATGGCCATCAACCTGTTTTACTAGATCCAGAGTATACCCAACATATGAAGGGAGCCTTGTGACATTAAGAAAAGAAAAAAAAAAAATCCACCAACCTGCTAGCATTTTCAGTAATCGACCCTATTCCAGAAATAATGGGCCTTCCTGGTGGTGATGTCATGTTTTTATGAATCTTCGGTAAAGATTAGGTTTCCTCGCAGGGAAATTGTACATTGAGAAATTCATATATTTCTTTGTCAATTATGGCATCTACATACACTGAGGTAAACAGATCCTTATAATCAATGTTACATTGAGCTACCATATTGGCTGAAACCTTCCAGTACCATTGTCGATTCAAGATATCAATGCACTTTTTTGTATTGGTGTGACACTACTACTATGTTTCCTCTTTTATCAGATGGTTTAATAACCATGTTGGGTATATTTTGCAATCCAATTATGGCTTGTCTTTGTGTGGGTGTTAAATGAAAATCCTTGGTAGTGATAGGTTTAACATCACTGACCATAGCAACCAAGAAGGTCCATGGCTGGAGGTTCATGGTTAGATTAAGAAAAAAGTGCAGAATTTTCCTGAAGTGTCTGTGAGGGGGGTAAAACTCTGGATTATATATGGTCACCTCATTGGTAACTTCGTTTTCATCTAGCAACATAAGATCACGCAAGTCCCTGAAGTCCTGCATTGTGAAAGTTTACATTGGTTCCATGAGTTCCTTCTCTTGTGTAGCTCTGACCCTGTCAGTCACACACACGTCAGTTTTCTAACAAACAGGTACAGATCGTGAAGGTTTCATATTTATCAAATGCAGCTTAGCCCCAGCTTGAGCACTAGGAGTTCATTATCTGATAATTGTTCTGTAGTCAAATTGACGACTCTTCGTGGATTGTCATAGGTCAGTTGGAAAGTAGGGATGGCATTGTTCATGGACCTGGTCGTATCACATATGCATCTAGTGTTACTTGTCTGTCTACCTGAATGGGTAGACTTTAGGGAAAAAAAAAAAAAAACCAGTACAACATCCAACTATAAAAGCCCATCACAGGGGGAGGAGCCTGAACATGGTGTCGGGAGACTGCCAAGTGCAGGAGCTTCTGACGCCTGCCATATGGAAACCTGCCTGAGCCAGACCTCTGAAGTGTCAGTTTTGTACATTTCCGGAGCCATGTAGGACACGGTGCCACACTTGCCTCTAATCACTTGACCTTAGCAAAGCCAAAGTCTGAGCTTGATGGAACGGCAGTCCCGGTCAAACACTAAAACATTATCTGGCTTCACATCCATGTGTGCCAGTCCTTCCTCTGCAATATATACAAGAGCACTCGAGATTTGCAGAGAACACTTTTGCACTGCGTCTTCTGGAATTCCCACCTAAAAAACAAAATAAAAAAAGAACTTCAGATTACTTATCCAGAAACAATTAAATTATATCTGTATGGCTACAACATTTAGTTTTAGACTAGAGATTCTTTTGTCGCATGTATGCATGCACTCAGAACAAGTACAAGTAGTCAGAACAAAAAGGCAAGTGGAAATCTGTTAACATGGACGTCTACTAATGTCAAAAGTTCCCTCTCACTTCCTGTTGTCTCTCTAGACGAGGAAGTGAAAGGAAATCTTTCCAAAAAGGATAAAGACAACATAAAATTGACATTAGTTGTAACTCTTAACTTTATCCAAAGAAAAAATAATTCTATACTTCAATCTTAATGTACTTACATTTGGTATAATCATGGAGAGCAGATCAGAGGTGCCAATTCTTGACCAAATACAAAGTGGTTGGTGGTGAAGGCGTTGCCATAGCATCTGATGATGTTGGGATGAATTTAAAGTAAGCACGAAATACTGAATTTCGGGAGGAAAGACCGCTGAGTGGTTCTGTTTTTCCATGTCATTCTTTGACCTCTGGGGGAGGGGAAAAAAAAAAAAAAAAAAAAAAGGTTTACCTTAGATCAATAACTGGACATTTTAAGCCGGTAATTTTTGGATTTTTCACTTGAAAATAATTCTACTAAGATCTGCTGCACCCAGATGTATTTCTTTCCTAAGGATGTAATAAATGCCATCATTGGGCCATATAGGTTTACTCCATATTCCTGCCATTTCAAATTGTTGCACGGGGATTCAATTTACTGCTTTTTATTTTAGAGCAAGTCTAAAATCAGAGACGTGTGAAAAAAAAAAAAAAAAAAAAAAAAAAAAAAGCCTGTGTGGCAGATTGTATTTACATGCATATAAACATTTATAGAGGATATTGAATTAGTGGATAGAATTATTCACTGACCTGTTTGCCAAGAATACTTTCCCAAATCCACCTTCTCCAAGTTTCTTCACAATGTGGACGTGCTTCTGTAAGTCTACCTTCTTTAATCCTTGGGAATAGGAGACCTTTCTATCCAGAAGACGTTCCACATCATAAGCACCGGAGGCCATAGTGTCCTGGAGAAAAAGAAAAAAAAAAAAAAAACCACCACACACTTGTTACATTAGGCAAAAAAAAAAGAGAAACTATAGAAATGTGTCAAATATGAATACTGTTAACCTCGGT